TGTATATATATTGTTAGTTATAGGATTTGCACCCCTCAAGACAGATCTCCTAACATTTTTGTAAGATAAACTCTAAACAAATCTCACTTCGTCCACAGCAATACTGTCAAACAAACCATAAGATGATGATTGTGACACTTCCATTCGCCTGTCATCGCCATCAAGATCGGAGGATTCAACTTTACTTTCAGTTGCACTGTTGTCAACCCAGTAAATCCTAATAAAATAATAATATCTATAATAATAAAACTAATAATATTTATAAATATTTATATTTAATAATAAATATATAATTTTAAGAAAGTTGATCGACCTGATAATTGAAGTGTCTTATAAACTGTGTAACTCGTTACTGATACTTGTTAATACTGATATTACTAATTAATAATCATTCTAAATCTACTTTATAAAGTTGCTAATTCCAGGTTAATTAATTCAGACGTTGTTAGAGTGGAACCGTGTAAGAGTGTCGATGATATTGGTATGCCTCTAGATAACCTCAATACTATGAAGTCCTATAGTGTTACTTCACGTGATACTACTCCGTTGCTATCGGCAACACAAAATGCGTTCTACCGGACGCCATTTTTTCACTGACAAACCATTGATCCGATTCTAGGGTAATTATTAAGATGTTGTATCTTAGTTTTTTTATGTAAATTTTAATTGATGATTAAATGTGTGTTCGATAACTAATGTAATGCGAGCTTTTGTGTTTTTAGTACATTTTGACGGTAAATTATTAGGTTTTAAAATGCCTATTCCAGCAAGACTATTCTTAACCATTAAGATTATGAAGTCACTCAGGCGTAATAAACGGTAACCAACGTCTGGTTCAGAACAAAGTTGGCCACCTGGTGTTGTGACGACACGACTGTTGTACTTTATTAACCTCAATACTGTTGGAGGTGTGGTTGATAAAGTATTTAGGGTTTTCTGATTGGGATTAAACACCTTGTTTGAATCAATCTTCATTTTGACGAATTGACCTGGCAAAAGGTTTACTTCTGTACTGCAAATTATAATTTTTGGGAACGTCTAGATACCATTGTTTTAGGATGTAAACTAATATCAGTGTTGGAAAACAATGCATCATAGTCAACATCATCATCATTATTATCATCCTTATTATCATTATAATATCATCACCATATCATCATCATCATCATCATCATCTTCATCATCATCATCATCATCATCATCATCATCATTATTCAAAACATTTATGAATTGACAATTAAAAAAATAAATCACAGTGTATTCATTACCTGTTAGTTGTGATATCAACAGCCATAGACCTCGGCTCACTCAGCCCTGTAACAATAGTTCTTCGATTTGCGCCTGACATTGATGATCTCTCAATTTTAGGGAGATACGTATTTCCCAGTTCTGTCCAAAATAGGTACCTTTTGTTTAAAAATTGAAATATCATTTATACACCACTGGAAAAGAATATCAGTAAAATATCAGTACACATCTACCTACGTATGTCAAGACACTATTATATAATTCAATAATTCAAAATAAAAACTATTAACATATCAAGTATTGGAAAGTTGGATGTGTTTTTTCATTGCATATTTAATACGAAACTTTCTACTTATTTAAGTATAGTTCGCATTTATTTTAATTATTCTTTCTACAGTTTGGTAGCTTTTTGCTAAGCACCTGCTTTAAGATATCCCGTATTTTGAACAATGAAGTTAGGCTGAGTCATTACACAATCAAAGGAAAAACTCAACGAACACCAGGGTATATTGGTTAGTGCTGAACAGGTTCCTGGCTCCAGCTCTACAATGTAGAAGAGGAGGCTCACATAAGTATGTATATTGTGACGTTATTAAAACGTACATGTTTTTTTTGGTCTGGGAACTCAATCAAAGCTTCTACATAATCATTACAAAAATAGTTTTATTGTATAATATGCCTATGTAGCTACTAGTAGCGCACCAGTAATCTTGGAAGCAGCCAGGGTTGGCGCCAGTTAAATGGGGGGGGGGGGTTGTATTATATGTATTATTTTACATACAAACTGTGAAATCGATTAAATACCCTTTTAAAAACGAGTTGACTGTGGCCGAGTTGACTTGTGGCCGAGTTGACCTGCTTCCTTTAAAACCTCTAAACTAGAAAGATTTTTGAGCCACACACGACCACGCCCACTTCTCTCTGGTCGGGACGCATTATTTTGTCAGGCGAAAATTATACAGGGCACTATTTTAAGACAATGGGTGAACTGATAACGTGAATATGCATGCATGATGACCTCCGTCCTTTCTTGTGGATGAAAGATATGGCGTAGGCAACGATCCCTAATAATACGTCTTGGTAGTCGAGTCAATGTGATTATATTTTATGAAAGTAATATTGAATCTGACTATTTGAGTAGTGTATAGATTTGACATGAGTTGTAGCAAACTAACTGTAGTACTGATTCTAAAGTATTGCCTTTAAAAATGCTCGGAGACACTAATTAAGAGTACTTTGGTTTAAAATTTGGTTTAATGGTGCTTTTTCTCGACAATTTATTTTAGTAAAACGAATAGGTAATAGGCATAGATCTATAGCAAGTGGATTATAAACATTCAGTATTAACAGAACCATAGAAAAATAAAATGTTCTATAAACTGACTGTACAATTATTATGACTGCCAAGCAACAGAATCAGAAAACTTTTAAAATCCAATTAAAATAGAAAAGCTCATTTAAGACGATCAAATAGGTCAATAATTTCCTACCAGATATAAATAAAACATAGTTGATTTACAGACATTATTTTACAACAAAAATCCTGAAAGTATTTATCTGTAAAACATTTTATATATATATATATATATATATATATGTGTGTGTGTGTGTGTGTGTGTGTGTGTGTGTGTGTGTGTGTGTGTGTGTTTTATATTTATATACATCTGTCATAAACAAATAAAAGTTAGAAAATGTCGCGCGCTGCAGGATAATTGCTTTATCTGATCCGACTATTTATATACCTACTACAATACGAATTTTGACAGATTGTATTTGCTTGTATTTTTATTTCAAAGACCAAGCTGTATGTAAACTGTGTCTAACCATGGGGATATATTTACAGTCAATTAATGTTTACACTGTCTAGACTACCAAGGCCTATTCGTGATTATGGCCTACACCGTGGTATAGCATTCATTCACAAGATTCAATACAACACTGATGCTCAAACTGCTTCCGCGAGGGGACATCTTGCATGCATGCATGTAAATCTACGTTTATCAGTAAAAAATTCAATTCACCCAATGACAGCCTGACCTAAATTAGTGCCTTCAATAATATTTTCTTCCTTAACTGTATGTGGAAAAAATGCCTCTTGACAAGAACGAAATGGGTGTGGTCATGTGTTACTCAAAATTTGCGGTCGGGACATCTCCCCCTCCCCCACCTCTCATAGAGGACAAAGCACACCAAGTCCGGTAAATCCTGGCGCCACCCCTGGAAGTAGGATTAATATTAATATACCCTTTTATAGGATGACATGCTATTCCCGACGGTCTTTCAAGGCCCGTATCAACAATCGTAGCTTCATATCCTCCACTGAAATAATTCGTCATTTTGATCCAGTTGTAACCCTCGTCCACCCAGTACACATTTTGAGCCAACCAGTCAATTGTCATAGCCAACACTCTACCAGAGGTCCCACTTTCAATGGCATGAGCATCGGCACCAGGCGTTTCTAAATCATCACTTAAGTAAATCCAGTGGTTAAAGGAATCATGAAAAGTAATATTCTTTGCGTGGTAATCAGCGGCTATTGAGTTCCAGAAGTGGCCACTGGATGCATAAGCTATATCATAATCTAACGTCTGATTATTTTTGTAGGATTCAGGACTTGCAGGAAGCCAACCAATGTAAGTTGCAAAATACTGGAAGCTGTAGTGAGCCACGAACAATGTATTCCCTGTAACCTGTCCATTTGCTGAAAGTTAACACAACAGAGTAAAACCATTCAAAGACATATAAGTACAAGTGTATACCTAAATAATGAGTGGAAATAATATTGTAAAGCAGATAAAATTTAACTGAAGGGTGCAATTCCCAAAATGAAAGAAACAAAACAAATTATAACAAGAAAATCTGAGATTACAAAGACTCGCCCTGTTGCAAAATTATCTATGTACTGAAAAAAATACTGGCATTTGTGTATTTTCCCAATGTAATATAACATCCTTAAACAATTCGAAAATTCGCATTCTAATTTTGACTAGCAAAAATTCGTCGCAACTTCGCATGTAGCATTGTCGGTTTTTTTTTTTTCATATTTGATTATTTAGCCTTAAACCATCTCCTATTCTAGACTGCGGTCGATCCGCTCGAGTCGACTTGGCCTAGCCAAATGAGGACTAGGCTGGCCCATCAATCAGACGAGTTTACACGCCGGCCAGACCGCTTCTAGTCTGCCGGACTGAATTGACACCCCTCTCCTACTCTGGCCTGCGGTCAGTCTGCTCGAGTCGTTCTGGCCTAGCCAAACGATGTTTGTCATCACAAACATTCTAAAATCTGCATCTTACTTTTGATCAGCACAAATTCGATGAGAACCGAGATACATGTAATATTGTCAATATGTGAACATTTAAATTTAGCTTTCGTATTTTTGGAACAACAAAATAAAAGATAACTAGCATTCTGATTTCCAATGCATTTCTCATACGGTATACTTCCAGAATCTTCTGCCTGCCAGGTTAGGGCGCAGCCAGCGTTGCAAATAGGCCAATGTAGAGATCAAAGATCTAAACAATAGTCAAAAACAATCAGTGTTCATAGTTGTCCTGCATCTCAGCATAACCAAATCAATCTTCATTGTCCAAAATAACAATTTATAGTGGAAATTCGTCTTTAGATACAAATAAAAGCCTACCATGTGAACAAATCACACTATCAATAAAAAATTACACAATCAAAATGTCAAAAAAATGAAATAAAAAAGTTTTAAAAAGGCCTTTACAATTTAGTTGAGAATTACAAAGTCAATAATAAAAATAGTTTATGAGATTACGAATAAAATTTACAGAGTAAAAAAATAAATCAAATTGATAAATTTGAAAGATATGCTAACAATTTTTCTGCAGAAAAGCAACAAGAAATTTCATTTTAAAATACTATGAAAATTTAAAGAAGTACTAAAATACAATTTTCAAGTTCAAAAAATAAAAAAAAACAAAAAGAATCAAAAATGTGGATGAACAATATCTATGGCAAGACCTATTAAAATTACAATGGAGGAAGAACGTAAGTGTTTTTAAATCTGGTGGTTTAAAAGATGGTAAGTATACATATTACCCCGAAAGTGGGTGATTATTTTGTGTTTAGTTAAAGCTGTCGCAGATACTTCATATTTCAGTTTTAGGTCATCAAACTGGATTTTCAGAATTCTAATGGCTTTTTTAAATTTTGTTTAATAGGTCATTCTTATATTTGGCTTTAATAATATTACCACAGACAACAAGACAGAAATAGATTACACTTACTATAGTTTATGATCCAGAACGGTTCCTATATACTCATTCATGAACAACTACACATCTACGCATCATCTACACATTCATCGTCAGTATTTATATTATGATGCAAACTATAACCATTTCTTTGGTTTTTTTAACATTTATAAATAGAAAATTATCTTTGCACCACTTAACGAAGTCTTCAACTTCGTTATGATATCCTCTTTGATCCTTTCTATCAGACACGTATCATCAGCATACTGAATAGTGAGACAGGAGTTTGTATACATGATAAAAAGAAGTGGGGACAGGACGCAGCCTTGGGGTGTACCAGTGTTATTTTATGTGATTCAATTCAAAAATGGGCCAACGTCTAAAATTTTGTCAAAAGTCTTACTAGGTAAAAATAATTATCTGTGCATGCCACGAACATAAAAATGTAATAAAATACTCGACACTGGCGTAGCTAGAAGAGAATGGGCCCCGTTGGCAATTTTGAATTGCCTTTAGAGACTGCCATACTAGTTCGGCATAATATCGTCTGCAAAGAAAAAATAACCCATTTGTGTTTTTACTTTTATTTGTACAGTATATACGCCACATTGCTACTCGATGATTAATTCCTGTAAGATATACCTAAAGAAGGCATTGAAAAAAAGAAGTGAAATTTTAGCAACTTTGGATGATGAACCTAACTCTTATAATTATATTGAATTCTTTTAAATTATAAGGAAATTTATGTATTTTTGAAAGATATTTTAATAAATGTATCGTAGTTATGTATAATATACATACTGTTACTATGTTTCTTTCATTGTCTTGAACTTTATTTTATTTTTGGGCAAGACACTTTACTTCTTATGTTTGCTTCTCTTCATCCAGGAATGGGTTGTGATTCATACGAACGAAAGAACGAACAAATGAGTGGTACAGCGCTCATCTAACCTACAGCACTGCAGGAGGTGTTGCATGGTTTATGGCTCACATCTTTATACACAAATGACAGGGTTGTTGGAATATCCCCACCTGTGTAACGTGACTTTGGAAAGGCCTGCCCCAGTTAAAAGTCTATTAAGACACTTCCAAGGTTGTCAAGTTGGGGTGGTTGTGGGGATAGGCTCTTATTACGTATAAAGTGCTCTCATATGACATGCGTCTCAAAAAGCCTCTGACAACCAAGTCCAGCTCCTGGCCTGCTCGTGTGGCCTAGTTTTTAAGCCCGCCGAACCTGCTTTTACTGACAGGAGAAGGTGTTAAAGCGTATCACTGGCGCCTAAAAACCAGTTACTTCGGGTAGATCAGGCTCGTCAACCTGGGAAGGCAACTCATCTAGGAAAAGGAAAACTCTGATTTCAAGCCTCCACTGCCTGGAGGTTCTGGCAACTCATGTGACGTCGCTTGAACCAACCGTATTGGCTGCTGCCTTTCCATTGGACCATTTCTGCGACGTGGAGTGTGGGGGTCTACTGCATGGGTAACAGTATACGCCCAATATCAAACTTACCCAGGCTTTGCACAATGGAGAGAGGCGATGTATCAGAAACACCACCCAGAGTGCGACTCCATAGTCTTTCGAGACTGAAGGATATCAAAGAAGACACTTCCATGTCGCCCAGTTATTATCAGACCCAGGTGGAAGGCCTCCATCTGGTGACAGTTTTATTGCTAAATGTCGTGGACGATCAGCGAGCCGTCTTTCCAAAAAGTTGTTCGTGCTTCAGAAGATGTTTATGTTGCTTCCAAGTGAGTAACATTGTTCATGAAGCTTTTCCTTGACCTAAGTCGTCTGCGTACAGCTAAGTAGTCATGCAGAGGGTGCCTCTCATCTAATGCTTTCCGAAGTCGATCCTTTTTGCCAGCTACTGCTCTTTGTACACATTTTTTTTTTCATTTACATTTTACTATAGGCTATTTCAATGCATGTTTATCGTATTTAGTGTATATGTTTCAAGTGCATCACAGTTATCGCGAATGCCACTTATATGCAGGTGTGTATTCAGAGAGTTATTAGTACCTGTCCTAGAATTTTTTTATTTAAATTCAAAATATGACTTCTGAAAATTTTAAAAGTCGGATCTTTCGGGGATTGTCTACAACACAGGGGGAAATTGACGGCTCCCAACAACCCCAACCATCCACTAGCACTACGACCCCCCCCCCCAAACGCTTCACATAAATTACTATTGCATTTTGGGCCGTTCTCTCCTAGCTACGCCGCTGATTTTGACAATGATCTGATCATGTAAGAAAAACAGAAAGTTTTTATTATTACAGTATTATCAAGAAACTATGACAATCTTTTCTCAAATTTATGCAAGTTTAATTTATAATTATTCCAAAAATGTAGCTACTTCTATTCCTTTAACCATTAAAGCCTGGGTCTAGACTAGACACTTTATATTATTAGATGCTAATTGACATGATAAAGAGTTACTGTGCAGGAACTGTAATTTGCATATTTAAATAATTATATGTGTATAATTGTTTCATAAATGTGCTAACTTATTATTTGTTTTAAATACATAGAGGATATTCTTTGGCTTTTAATTTAGGTGGCCAAACAAGTAAAAATAGAATAACATATAAAACAATGTAAAATATTTCATAAAAATTATTAATAAGTAAAATCCTTCTTTGAAAAACAATAATTAGTATATATTAGTATATATTTCTACTCTGACGCACACAAATCACACTTTCTAAGTATGGTAGCAACATTAATTTAGGCCTAAATATAAACAGTCGAAGAAAAATACCATACCTTTGGATGAGAGACAGGCTATCAAAAGCAATACTACTATACGAGAAGTCAACATTTTTGTATTATCTCAAACAGACGGACAGAACGCGGACAGAATGCTGCGTTATTGCGCATTACATTTCGAATGAGGAAGAAATGCCTAAGCAATAACAATAACAAATCTGAAAGATTGTCTACACCTCTAGGCATATTTTTCTTACACTCACAAGACAAATATAAAAACAATTCGAAATCACCCGCACGAGATGCTGTGCATATAATATATGCACATCATCTCAAATATAATAATATTATGAACTGACATTATTGATTTCACGCATGCTTTACTGAGAACATGTCCTTACAGTCCCGTGTATGAGACATCTTAACATATGGTTTTTAATTCGTCATCAAATTATTTCATCAAATTGTTTTAATTGGCAATGTATCACAGTCGTATCCTAATCTGTTGACATATACGCTGATTTTGATGTAGTGGAGAGAGTTTAACTGCATAATTTAATAATTAAGTATGACAATTATAATTCGCCTGTAGGCCTAAGCCTAATCCACTTTTATATAGATAAGATCAATCTGGACAGGTATTTTGTGTCGGAGCTCTTCTTGTCCAAAGACGAGTGCCATAGGTAGAGAAGTAATCGGTACGTTCTTATATTTATATTTTCTATTAGAGTAAGGTATACCTAGATGGTATCTAGATCACCTGAATTCTGAGCACAAAACAATAGGCGTAATGCAGGGACTTTGTCGCATTTAGTCTTTCGCAAACCAACCCACACGGATAGATATTAGAACAAACGCTCGTTCACCATCCATCCACCAAGAAGGGAGTTTGCAACACATGTATCAGAAAGGCAAACTGTATCAGTGGCAGCAACTCTATTTATTAAAGAAGTGCATCATGTTATATTAAACGGTTATCACACGAGAGACATCAACATTTCAAAAAAAAAAGGAAAGATGATACGGAATCTATAAATTATGTATGTTCACCATATTTGGAACAGCTTTCACATCGTATTCAACGCATTCTACAACATAATATGTTGTAGAATGCGTTAAATATATATATACATTACATTCAAGTGTTTCATAGTGCACTCAACAAACTATTCCAGACTCTTCAAAACACACAAAGATAAACCACCAGCACAGAGATAGCCATGAGTGTATCGGATTCCACGTGAGTATGGAAAAGTTTACATTGGTAAAACAGGACGTGATCTTCGTACAAGGCTCAAAGAAACACCAAGGTCATTCTAGGAGAGGGAACAACACAAGTTATCTAGTCATGAACTCCCATAAGCAACAACACAGTGTTATGTTGGGATAAAGCCGAACTGATAGCCTCTGTTCTTGGCAATTCAGATGGACCAGAGTAGCTATAGGCATTTAAAAACACGATACAGTAGATCAATATCGGATTTTTCATCAGCGATATTAGATTGTCTATGTTTAATCGGACCTAAATCAAACAAAACATTTTCCGTCACACTGCAAAACCTGTCAATTTTTGGCTTTCCATTCAATAAGCTAGAAAAAATGCCACTGTCTTGAATATATAGCCACTCCCCACCCTTATGCACAGTCTGGCTTTAGTATTAGCTCTTTCACAGTAGTTTCAGTAATTGTTTAGTTTTTTACCAATTAGCAGCAAACATCACTACCCAAATATAATTATAACTTTAAAATTCTTCTTCTTGTGTGCAAATTGTTCCATAACATATCACCCACGTACATGAAATATATTCTCAGACTACGCTCATCCATTTGTTCCCGAGCACTCGGATCAACCACAAAATCATCAACTTTGTTTGTTCCTGGGTGCCGTTCGAAAATATAATAGTTAGAGATCATTTCGTTTTGCGGCTCCAAAATGTGCAATGCACTACCCATTAAAGTCCGTGAATTTGCGCTAATTGACATCTTTAAGAAGCGACATAAAACTTGTCTATTTGCCTCTTTATAACTACTTTGTTCTCTTTTTCTTAATTCTTAAATTCTCTGTTTTACCTCGCTAGCTATTGTTGTTTGGTTCAAGTTAGGAGGCACAGATCGCAGAAAATATCAAGACAACCGATGCTAACCGGAGTACATAAACACAGATCTCCGGTTGGCATTGATGGTGTAACCCCATAATTCGGTTTGGGTGCTAGCTTGATGGGTTTCTTTTCTGACTTTCTTCTTTGTTTTCTTGTCTATAGTTGACAGCATAGAGGCCTCGTTTATCTGCGCTATATAAATCCATCTATTATAATTATTATTATTATTATTATTATTATTATTATTATTATTATTATTATTATATATATATATAACAATAATAATAATAATAATAATAATAATAATAATAATAATAATAATAATAATAATAATAATAATAATAATAATAATAATAATAAAGATTTATAATGTGCACATCTCTACCGAAGGTGCTAAAGGTGCAGTGAAAAGTCCACATTAATTCCCAGAAGAATTTAGAGCAGGATTTTCCCTTCGAGGCAGTGTTGCTCCTCACATAAGTATGCGCAGATACGGTACTCATAAGGCAGTATGTTGAGCATCAGCACCTTCCGCGTGGCCACTGCCATCTAACCTTTTGCCGACCTTTCATTTTATTAATGTTGTGTGGCTAGCAAAACCAAAATTATTTCATGTTTTCTTTTCTCATTTTCACATTATAAGTCTCCCTTCAAATAACTTTATTATTATTTTAATTAGCTTTATGAGTCTCTTAGTTATAATAATAAAGATTGAAGACAATTGCTGATTTTGATCACAGAAAAATGTTCTTTAATTGGAGGTGGTATTAAATTGGAAGGGTCTTTAATTAGAGAAAGAACTGTATTATTATATCAATTACTGATAATCATATCATTTACATGTATTTTTCTCACTCATTAATTGATTCATCATTTTTTGGTGGTTACTTTTTTTTCATTTTTGAATTTAAAGCAGAAATCCCACTCAATATATTCTAGACACTGACAAATAAATACTTTTAACAAAAAATTGTATCAGATTTGTTACAAGCACACACGTTCCAACAGTCATCTGTGCTATTCGAAGTAGACTTTCTAGCGAATTGAAGATCAAACGTAACTCTGACGTTGCGCTTGAACATCAGTTCTATTTTAGTTATTTCGTAATTAGTAATTAATTGTTCTCCAAACATTTTTTCAAAACAATTTTGTAAAAGTGATTTAATCTAATTATTTGAAAAATTTCTCTTATTTTGAGGAGCTCTATAAGTGCTCGGCTTAATTGATTGATTAATTAATTAATTAAATAATTAATTGATTCATTAATTAATTAAATAATTAATTATTCAATTCAATTCGTTTTCACAATATTTCTGACAGTTTGTAGTAAAATAAATGTGTTAATTCATATATTTTCTAAACATTTTTGGAGAACAATTAATTACTAATTACGAAATAACTAAAATAGAATTAATTAATTAATATATATTTTTTGTAAAGTGCGCCACCAATACTGTCATTACCCCAAATATATTTTTCCAAGTAATTAGATTAAATAATCAGTCAGCCGAGTACTTCTAGAGCTCCTCATAATATTAAGAGGAGATTTTTCCAAATAGATTAAACAATTTGTACAAAATTATAATGCCAATTATGAACCCATGCCGAAACCCAATATAGTAATAATAACTTACGCCGCTGTGTACAGTAATTAAGCATGGAGGATATTTATCCGTGATTGAAACATGTTTTCATATACGCTACTGCCTCTATTATACTGTCCTCATCGGAACTTTTGAGAATATGAGAAGTTATGTCCAATGATTTACTACTGATGTCGGTAGGACATCCGCGTTGATCAAAGAGTTCAGCTATTTCTTGGCTTTTTAATTTAAAATCATCGTCATTACTGAATATCCTCTTGAGTCTCAAAAATTGCGAATTTGGTATGACCTTTTTGCACGATTTTGTATGCAAAGAAGCGTAGTTGTAAAGAGCATGCAAGATTATTCTAGAACGTAAATACAATGTACTTTTTAAACTGCCTTTTAGTTGGTGAATTTAGGTCAAATATTTAGCTTCTAATATGACTCAGTAGTAATCAAGTTTTGCCTTCGTATTATTTTGTATTTAGCTCTACCCCGGTATCGAGCACTCTACTCTAGACGATCTTTCCCCTTCCCAAAGGCTGGGGGTCCGAGGGCCGCCAAATGCCCCTGGGGGGTTCCAGGGAAGCTTTGCCTATTTTGCTTATCTTAACAGTTTTAGACGGTTTAATAAAGGAAGCAAATACAATTTGGTTTGTCAGCATTTTCCTATATTTACTTGCATAGACACAGTAATATGATGCACTGGGCATGAACAATACGAGATGGGGTAGGCCTTTTTTCGATAAAGTATCTAAATTTTACCGTATATACTCGCGTATAAGAAGATATAAAATAGTACGGTACGATCGGAAAACAGACCCAATGTTGATTATATAAGAACACATTGAAAGTTTATTGCACTTGCCTCTACAGAATCAAAAACATATAATATTTATCATGCTCAACAGATTCCAAAGATATAATTATTATTATGCTCAATAACTAGCTAACACGAGCAATGTTTATACGAAACAAAAAATAATATTAATCAAACGCTTAGCAAAATTCTTAGCATTAGGTGCCATTTTTTTGAAAATGTATTTTAATTCATTTTAGTAGGCCTATTCATTCCATCATAAATACACCGTCCTATATTTATGAAACAAACACTTAGTAGAATACATTAATTAGGCTTTATGATACGCCTGTTGGTGTTGTTGAACCATAATGGAATACGCTGTAGGTATTCATTCATGACTGAAGCTTCTGTAATTAATAATAGAGTTTAGAGAAACGGTGGCAGTTTTCTAATATTGGTTGTCTTTGGACAACGCATACGTTATCAACATGTTTATTTCTTTTTCTACACCCACAAGTATAAATGCTTACCTGGTGTAAAATTCAAATTAAGTGATGCGTAGTATAAATTAATAGATAAAGTAATAATAACGGTGCTCAAATACGGTACTTTATTTATATTATGAGTAGCGAATCCTTCTTCTTGATTATGATTTGCGAACCTTGTGTCTTGGAGTCCTTTT